TTGAATTCAGTATCATTGGAGACAGACCATCTGTGGGCTTCGTCAAGGGCTTTCTGGAGATCAAATGCATCTTCGGGTTTTATTATTGTCCTCCATATTTTGGCATCGTCTGCGGACAGCAGAGTTTGTGGTCCGAGGACGTCTGGAAGATCAATAATGAAGACAAGGAAAAGACGTGGGCCTAGCACTGATCCCTGTGGAACCCCACGGTTGACATATATCGGATCAGAAAGGGAATCGGAAACACGAACTGACATGTTGCGTAGGCGAAGAAACTCCTCGATCCAGCCAAGTACAAGTCNACGAATTCCTTATCAGTATTTGATGATTTACCCTGTCAAAGGCTTTAGAAAAGTCCAGGTAAATGACATCAACTCCTTTGCCTTGATCTACAGCATGAGTCCAATCGTCCCGAGCCAACATCAGGTTAGTTGCACATGAACGATTTTGTCGAAACCCGTGCTGGACTGGGATAGTAGGCCATTTTTCTCCAGATGATCCATTACGGAATCTGCAACGGCAGATTCCATGACTTTGGACAACACTGGGAGGAGGGTGACGGGTCGGTAGTTAGCTGGGTCACTACGGCAGCCACCTTTGTAAATTGGTGAAATGACACCGTTTTTCCACACCTGAGGAAGCACGATATCTTCAAACAGTTTTTGGTATAGCCAACTTAGAGGATCGGCTATGTGACTTGCTCGAGTGATAAGGACTTGTGAATGGATGTTATCTAGACCCGGTGATGAGTTCTTCTTTAAAGCCATGAGCTTAGCCTTTACCTTTTGGAGGAAAAGATAATGTCTGTTAGTAATGGGTGAGGAATATGTTCCAGCAAACGGGGAAGTACGAACCCAGTGTTACTGGGCGCATTGACCACTCGAGAGTACTGTAGCCTCAACATTTCTGCAGCCTCCTTGGTCGTCGCTGAAACACGTCCTGTTGATTTTAGTATCGGAACACCGTGTTTGACTTTCCGGGAAGCGTTTACATGCTTATACAATAGCTTGGGATTTGCAATAAACTTTCTCGCCAGCATATCCTGATAATTGTGTTTGTCTTCCCGCACCAAATTTGTACAGTGGTTCCGAATGAGCCTGTAAGCTTCCCAAGTGCTGGGGCATGGACGGCATTTGAACTCCCTCTAGTGAAAGTCCCTTTGCATTATCCATTTCCTAGTTCGACTGCGAATTGCTGATTTTCGAACTGCCGGTCGGCATAGACGCTTGATGGTTGTGACAGCAGCTACCAATGTCGTGATGACGTTAGTAAATTTTCTCCAGGATTCCAGAGGATTGCAGCGTACATCAGGGGAGATCCACTGGATTCCATGGGCCAGCGTGTTTAGTCCCACATAGTCGGTTATGATGCGAAAGCGATCCGAGGAAACTGTCATTACTGATGCATAGCAAACATATTCGAACATTAATATAGCGTGATCACTGCGCCCCAACGGAGTTGCGCTTGCAACACTGGATGTTGACAGTTCTAATTCAAAGTTGTGAAAGGATTGTAACGATAATAATGATAGTCTTCATCGTCTTTTCCGTTCTCTGAACGTCTAGCCGTTCCTTCGATTTTCACACTTTCAACCTCATTTATTTGGTCTTTTTAGTTCAGTCAGACGTTCCCTATGAAATTATGTTAATGGAAACAAATTGAAGGAACCTGAAGAAATCTGGGAAGTCGTTATCTTAAAACCCTATAAAAAGGCTCGAGGAGCAGAACATTACACATCGAGAATCGATTTAG